TTCCAATACTTCTTTCTGAGAGGGAACCCAAGAACGTTTCTTGTTCTTGTTTCCCTGGCACCATCTCTCCTTTTCAATTTCCTACCAGGGACCTTCCGCCTGCCCCTTTGGTGGCCATCTTTCCTCATGGGTGATGATGCCCGCCCCCCTTGTTTGCTGGTCAGTTGGATGGCCTGGCATACCTCCACGATGTGGCCTCTGTGCTCACATCTTCAGCAAATAGTGTCTTTAAAACATCATGCTGAGCAGTGATGATTTCCTGCACAACCCACGCACTCTTTGTTTTTCGGTTTCCCATCTGGCTTACCAGAGTTTACCTTATGCACTTCTTCATCTTCGTCCTCACTTACTTCGGAGCAGAGTCGTTGCAGTTGGGGTATTGATCCGTCTTGATTGCATGGCTCCTCCCCATCCCTCTGATCTGTGCTGCCAAGTTGTCCAAGGACTCTGCAGCTCATGCCTCATTGATGGCTTTTTTCAATGAGACATCCTCCCAGACTAAAAGCTTCTTTTGTAGGGCTGGGTCCCTTGTTCCCAGGATGATTTGAACTCGGATCATCCCTTCAGTGTCTGGGAACCTGCAGTTCTTTGCTATTTTCTGTAAGTCGGCCACGAATGAGTTGATCATCTCTCCCTCTCTCTGGGTTCACATGTAAAAGTCATATTGGCTTGCCAGGTAGGAAGGAGAGGGGGCATAATGTCTCTTGAGTGCCCATAGTAGTTCATCCCAGGACAAACCCCTCAGGTCATCTGCTACTAGGGCATCTGCCATCTCGTAGATTTTGGTGTCACACGATGTCAGGAACAATGCTTTCTTTTGTGCATGGGGGGCTGCTTGGAGTCCTTTGACTTCCAGATGCAGGTCAAATCGGCCCATGTAGGAGGACCATTTCTCTTTTGCCGGGTCATAGAAGATTGACATTGGGCAGTGTGCCAGACTGTTTGATCATTGAGCCATGTTGATCCCATGAGGTGTCCTTTGTTCTCTCCACAGCTCAGGATCCCACCTTCATCACCAGTGTTAGAAGGGTCCACAGTAATAAGAGGCAGGACACGGCAAGAACAGGTAACAGTCTTTATTTTGTGAATTTAAGAAAAATCCGCTCAGCCACAGCAGGTGCCGGCTTTTGTAGCTGGTGCTGTCCAAAGTTTCAGCCAGTGATGGGGCTTTATTTCTCCTGCCAGTGGCTGGGCCAATGAGTGGAATCTGTTAGCTGACTCCACTTTATGGCCATATTTGGCAATACTTAATAGAGTGAAATTATTACTGACTTCCAAAATGGATGTTGAATTAATTGGGGTTTATAATGTACATTAAAAAGATGCAGAGATTAAAATGATATACTAAAGTCCTGTATGAAGGGCAAGGTGGGTAAATAATTGAATGTGTTGACAATGTGATGATAGAATTGCCATTCTTGTGATTTCTAATGGAAATGCAACCCAAGTATTCAAACATGGTTTTTACACTGTAATGTAATTTTGTCAATTTGATTAATGCTTGACCACACTGGTAAAAAAAAAAAAAAAGCATTACTATTACTATTAATCCCCCCATCCTTCCTTTCACCCCTCTACTACAAATTATGACTGTATGACTGTAACCTTGTTGCTTGTATCTTAATGATTTTTATTGACTGTTTATTAATATTGCTTATTGTATCCTATGACTATTATAGTCTTGTACCTTATGATTCTTGACTGTTGATGAATGAATCTTTTCTTTTATGTACACTGAGAGCATTTGTGCCAAGACAAATTCCTTGTGTGTCCCATCACACTTGGCCAATAAAGAATTCTATTCTATTCTATTCTATTCTATTCTATTCTATTCTATTCTATTCTATTCTATTCTATTCTATTCTATTCTATTCTATTCTATTCTATTCTATTCTAAAATATATGTGCCATTTTTATATTAAAAATAGAAATTAGATTTCTAAAGAGATTATTTCAATATGAGTTCATAATTGATTGAAGTATGGTTGATTAATGCCATCTCCTTTTAATTGTCTTATTAAATACCATAGAGTCAGCCTCATGAAATTTTAAGCCCATTTTATCATTACTTCTTTGACTTGCTCCTCCTCCATTTTATATTCTAGTAGATAGTTGTATATTCCCTTGATTGTTCCCCCTCCCATTTCTAATAGTATCTTATCTAATGCCATCAATTCTCTCAGTACGTCCCATTCTTTCTTGTCTTTGTTGTATCTTGATTAGATTTGTAGGTATGCTCACCACTGGAGTTGTATCCCATCTTCTTTCAGTTCATGTCTGGATTTTAATTACCCTTTTCCATCTAGTAGATCTTTGTATGCAATGACTTTTCCCAGATTCATGAAATTTTGATGCACTATTGCTTTTACTGTTGAGAGCCATATCAGAGTCTTTATGTAATTTTGCTGATTAGTTTTTATCCATACCTTAAGTAGAGCATATCTTACATAATGCCTCTGGAAGTACTGGTATGCCTTTCATCCCATAAAAAAGTGTGCCATCCTGATTGTAGGTCATGACTCTCTAATGTTATTAACCTCCTATTTTTTTTAATTTTATCCACTCTTGCATGTAATTTAATGCAGAGGCTTGGTAATACAACTCCCAGTCAGGTAAACCAAATCCCCTTGACAGTAAGAACAATCAACTAATGGAAAAGCTTGCCCTTGGAAGTTGTGGAAGCATCATCACTTGAGACTTTCAAGAAGAGATTGGACTGCCATTTGTCAGAAATGGTGTAGGATCTCCTGCTTGGGTGGGGAGTTGGACTAGATGATCTACAAGGTCCCTCCCAACTCTGATTATCTGTTATCTGTTTGGCATCTTGTAATAATTTTAATTTAATTCTCAGTTTCCTCCTCTGCTAAATAAATTTCAATATTGTTTTATTCAAATCTTCAAAGTATTTTTCTCTAGTTTTATTGGTATATTTTGGAAAAGAAAAAGTATTTTAGGTAGGATATTCATTTTTATTGTTGCAATTCTCTCCATAAAGGAGAGTTGCAGGTTTCCCAATTTTTCTAATTCTTTCTTTATTTGATTGGTCAAATTAATATAATTATCCTCTTTTATTGTTCTATACCTTGCTGATAACTATATTCTCAAATATTTTACTTTCTTCACTATTAGAATATTTATCTTCTCAGCCAAATCTTTTTTCTGTGAATTTGTCATGTTTTTGTTATCATTTTAGTTTTATCTTTATTTATTTTTAGTCCCACTACTTCCCAGTAGTCCTCCAGTACTTCCATAAACCTTGTGCCTGATTGCAGTGGTTCCTCTATGTTGAATACAAGGTCATCTGCATATGCCTGTAATTTGTATGTTTCTTTCTTAATATTTAACTCTCTAATTTGCTTGTCTTTCAGAATAATTCTTTTTTTGTAATTTTTTTATTCTAGAAAAAAACATTTATTTGACATACATTTAAAACAGACAAATCAACACAAACACACACACACATACACACACACACACACACATATCTTAAGTTTTCACGGGTACTTACATGTATGGTATTCAGCTTTGTTCTGGTATTTTCCCACGTCATTATAGTTGTGCTTTTAAAGTTGTAGCAACGTTTTGGCAGAATCTCATCTGCCATCATCAGGCTTCTGTATTGTGTTCGTCTGTGAGTCAGACTTTCACAGCCATTTCAGTTTTAAATTTGGGGCTAGCCTACTGCTGTGCCAGAATGGTTTTTTCTTCGTCCTGATTGGTTGGGAGTCTTGGTTTGTGTTTATTGGTCTTGGAGTTTGCCGTGTTCACCAATCAAGCAGAACACAGCAAAGTCCATATCAATGCTCCTTGTTTTTCACAGTGAACCTCATAATATTCTAAAATGTCCAGTATCGTTCTCATGTTATTACATATTTGTCTTTTTAGGAGAAACCCGTTTTGATCTACATGTATAAATTTGTATAGGAATCTTTTAAGTCTTTCTGCAATGATTGCCATAAATGTTTTGTAACCTGAATTCAATTATGATATGGGTCTGTAATTTTTAACCATTGTTAAATCCACACTTTCTTTTATGTTTGCTTCAGTCCATGATGCTGGTGTTTTTTATCCTTTTAAAATTGAATTAAACACTTTTAATACTATTTAGCCTAATGGTTCCTGGAATTCTTTATATATTTCTACTGGTAGTCCATCAGGGCCTGTCCTTTTATTATTCCTCTGTTTTTTCAATATTTCAATTAGTTCCAACATTTTTATTTCTTCTGTGATTCTTGGCAGCTCTACTTTCTCTAGACATTGTATTTGCTTTTCCTCTATGGGCCATTTGTCGTAGCTTTTCAAAATACTCTTGATCTATTTTGTTTTTCTCTTTACTTTGATAACACATAGTTCCTTTCTCATTCTGTAATTTACTAATCCAACATTTTTCTTTTTGTTTTTTAATTTATATGCTAGCCATCTTCCTGCTTTGTTGGCATTTTCCAAGAAATTTTTATTGTTCTTTTTTAAATACTGTTTATAAACCCTTCCTTGTCAGAAATAAAAACTTCTATGTTCCTGTAGGTTTTATATATATTTCCTGTAGACATCAAACAGTTTTTTATAATTTATTTCAGCAATTTCTCTTGGACAGAAATTTCACATGTGGTATTAATTCTTCTTTATGAGTTTCTCTCTCTGATTTAACTCAGGCCGAAAAACAATGATGAAGCATTTTGGCAGGAATATGCATCCTAGTAAAGCAGCACTGGAAACCAAGATGGAAAAGACCTCCACAACTACCATGGCTTTTCCTTTTGTACTCAGATAGGCTGGAAAGAAGGACATCCATATGCTGCAGAAGGCCAACATGCTGAAGGTGATGAACTTGGCTTCATTAAAGCTGTCCGGTAATTTACGGGCAACGAAAGCAACAATAAAGCTAGAGATAGCCAAGATACCCATGTAGCCCAAGACACAGTAGAAGAAAAAAGCTGACCCTTCATTGCACTGTAAACTCATTTCTTGAATCTCTGAGTGCATGTCCAACTCAGGGAATGGGGGAGATGTTGACAACCAAAGTATACAAATACAAACTTGGAAGAGAGAACATAAGAGGACAATAGAAAAGGCCAATCTTTTCCCCACCCATTTCCTCATCTGAGATCCTGGTTTAGTGGCCATGAAAGCAACAACTACAGTGATGGTTTTAGCCAGTACACTAGAAATGGCCACTGAGAAAGTGATGCCAAACATTGATTGTCGGAGAAGGCAGGTTACTTTTCCAGGTTGGCTAAGGAAGAATAAAGAGGAGAGAAAACAGAGTTGAAGAGAGACAAGGAGGGTGTATGTGAGGGACCTATTATTGGCTTTGACAATGGGAGTATTCCTCTGCCTAATAAATGTTCCAAGTACCCAAGATGTCAGGAAGAAGAAACAAAGAGTTGCTGAGGATAAACTAATTCCTAAGGTTTCTTCAAAAGTTAGAAATACCATTGTTTTCAGGATACAGTCTTTCATTTTTTTATGTGGATAATAATCTTCTGGACATTCAAAACAGTCATCCATATCTGGAAGAAAAGTCATGGAATTTGTCAACTAGACATTCCATATTATTGAAACTGACTTTATTAATCTTATGCATCCTAAAGTAGTATATTAAAGTTTGCTACAAGCTTATCATTTTGATTTGAAATCTTCCCCTCTGGGCATGGAACACAGTCATAGCAGCAGAACTTATCCCCCTCAATCCCCTTCTTCCAGGATCCAGGGAAACATGGGTCATTGCATTGAGATAATGGAAGATCCTGGGGATAAGCATAAAAGGTTTTGAAAAGGAGGGTTTTTACCTTGTTCTTTTTTTATTTTATGGGCTAACCATCTTCCTGGCTTGTTTGCATTTTCAAAATAGTTTTGTTTTGCTAATTTAACTTTTTGGGCCAGGTCTTCCTGCATACTTAAATTTATCTTATGTTTTACCAAATCTATTTCTTTACTAGTATTTTGATTATTTGGATCAAATTGTCTACTTACTTCTAAATCTTTAAGCTTCTCTCTCCACACATTTTGTTGTTGTCTTTTTTCTTTACTTTTTTTAATACTATAGCCAATAGTTACACCTCTCACATAGGCTTTTGTGGTATACCAAAGATTTTGAAGAAACGTATGCTCTCTCTTGTTTATTTCAAAAAATATTTTCAATTCTTTTCTCACCATTTCAATATATTTGTTATCTTTTAATATACTATTATTAAATGTCCATCTTCCAATTGTTCTCTTTCCTTTCTATTTAATTTGAATAGGGTTATGATCAGCCCATACATTTGGCAAAATCTCTATATTTTCAATGTTTTTCATTAAGCCTGGGTCCATCCAAATCTGATCTATTCTAGACCAAGAATGATGGGGATTGGAAAAGAAAGTATATTGCTTTTTGGTTGGATATAGTTCTCTCCACACATCTTTCAAGTTTAATTCCCTTACCATGTTATTAAAAGACGATGGAAATAGTCTCCTTTTATTTATTAATTATTATTATTATTGGAACTTTTAAAGTCTGAAACAGCATTTAAATCTCCTACAATACATACATTTGTATATTCATATTCTATTATCTTATGGTGGAGTTTGTTATAAAATTCTTTTTGGTTTACATTCGGGGCGTATAACAAGGTCTTTTTCTGGTTTAATATTATTTCTATAAATAACATTCTTCCATCATCATCCTTATATACTTCTTTGTGTTGCAGCCAATCTTTTATATATACTACAATACCCCTTTTTCTTTGGTTTGAAAGGGCGTAATACATTTTTCCTAAATTAGTATCCTTTAGGAGATCTGCCTGTTTATCTATGATGTGTACCTCTTGTATACAAGTTATATCTGCATTTTGCTTTTTAAGTTTTTCAAATGACTGTTTTCTTTTTAATGTTGAGTTTAAACCATTGATATTAACTGAGAATAAGGTAATTTCTCTGCTCATATTATTGACTGGGTAGAGCATTTTTTGTTTCTTTCCTTGTTCTGGGTTCTCTTGTACTTGGTCTGTTGTCCTCATCTTCTCTAGGTTTCTGAGATTCTGACTGAGGTACAGGTTCTTTCTCTTCAGAGAGTTCTTCCTGACTTCTTGTATTTAAATCTCCTCCACTTTCATGTTCTTCTTCGGGTTCCAGATATTGTTCACGAAAATGATGTGTTTTTTCTATTGTATCAATTTTATATTTTTTATTCTGCCATGCTACTAGGAGCCATTCTGGGGTGAGCCATCTGAACAATATACCATTTTTAATTAACTGAGATGACAAAAACTGGTAGCCCCTTCTTTGCTCCCTAACTCTCCTGGGTATTTGCTTCAACATGACCACTTCATGATCTTTATATATCAGTGGCTCATATCTGGTCTTGCCGTATAGCATGTCTTGTATCATCTTTCTCGTGAATCAGATGTGGACTTCTCGGGGTAATCTATATCTTCAGGCGTAGTGTGTGTATACTCTGTAGACCTAATCGATGTCATTCTCAATTTCCTGTTTGTCTTTCTGTAGGGTTGTTGCTATCGAATTCACCATTATTTCATGTAAAACTTCCTTTTTTATCTTCAACAACATTCTGGAATCTCAAATAAAATGATGCTTTTTCTAATCCTATATGCACCACAGAATCCCGAAGTTCACAATATAAAACTTTCCAATTTTGTTCTGATTCCTCTAATCTCTATTCTACCACCTCAGTTCTTGCCTCTACTATGTTTAATTTTTGTTCATTTTTTGTCATTGTCTCCTGGATCTTTCCGATTTTACTATCTAAATTTTGTATCTCATTCTTCACTCCTCCTATTTCCATTCTCATTTCTCATTTCATGTCTTCATGATTCCTCGCTATCAGTTCATGGGTTTTTACCATCATTTCCTGCATCATGGCAAGCGTTGACTGTACTGCCTGCAAACTTTGGGCGGAACTTGTCTTTTCTGCCAATAACATTGCATCAATCGATCTCTGTCCCAGAGGTGAAGATGTCGCTGTTGTAGGTTTCTTCCCTGATTTTACATTTGTAGTTATTGTGGCCATTTTAACTATTTGTACAAGCTCTCTCCAATCAACCATCAACTATCCTAGTAGAGTTATATTGTCTTCTCCTTTAAATACTGTACACGGTATTTGTACATATATTGTTAAATGAGAATTTTGTATTATAGGTAGTCCCAGACAGATCTTATTTCGATTTCTTAAGTGGTCAAATATTCTAAGGTTTAGAGAGTTAAATATTAATCCAATATATATTTAATTAATCCACTATAGATACAAGTAAGTAAATACTAATATGTTTAACCAAAAAAGTATCAAATCTATGTAATCACAAAAATATTGTAAATAGTTAAAGCACCCAGTTCATTAATATATTTAAATATATGAATTTATCTTTTTCTTTAAGGAAATATATTTAATCAAAGTAGGTAATTCTAATTTCTTATTTTTTTCCCCTTAGATTTCTTAAACAAAAATTGATTGGTATAGTTTATCAGTAGAAAAATAAAATGGGAATAATAATACTGTAATAATACTATATAATTATTCTTTGACCATCTATTTCATATGAATCACTTTCCAACAATTATACAATTGATCCAAACAATTCAATAAGCATTAAATAATATTCTATATAGAAGTTTCTAGTATATTACTCTATCAAATTAATTTTCTACCAACATCACTTAAATAGACTTGTATCTTACCAATATCTATTAAATCAGATCCAGCAATTTTTTTTGTTAATTGTCTTACATCAGGTCTTAATTCAAAATGTCCTCATTCCAAATTGCACTGTCACTTTCTCTGGTTGTGTATTTTCTTGTTGTTCTTTTATTCTTTTATTCCTGTGCAGTCACAGTTTCACTTATAAACCTTAAATAAGTTTTTGTTATTATGTTGTCAGAGTTGTCTATTAATACTTATCAGATTAAGGTTTCTTTTCCCCAGTCCTTTCTTCTGATGTTTCAATGCAGTAAAAGTTCGTTTCCAAGTTTTACACTCTTAATTGTCCTTTTGTTTTCCTATAGCACTTAATCACTTTCACTTCTTTTTCTTTCTTTCCCCAGTTCTCAAATAAATGGACAATAAAGTTCTATAATTCACTCCTCCACTCACAAAGCAAATGTTATTATCTCACACTTTGTCTCCTCAGGTTTCACGATTCCATTAGTTAGCTTAAATCTCTGCCGTTATTTCAGCCAACGCTCCTGTCAAAGACACCGTCTGTTCACCCCACCACTCAGTTCGGAGCTTTCTTTACAGTTTACACTAATATTCTGAAGATCTTCTTTAAATTCACCTTTCCAGTGCTCAGCCTGCTTCTTCTCTCTTTTCACTTCTTTTAATCAGCTGGGTTGCTGTGTCTCTGGTTCCGATCATCACAGTTGTAACGATCTCCCTCTTCTGCTGTTGGTTTTCAGGAGTTTCTTCTTCCAGTCTCTGGGATTGCAGCACCTCCCCAAGACCTCTGTATCTTCCCCTTTCTTTTGCCTACCCCTCCGGGGTCTGGCATGCTCCAAAAAGCCACCAACTAGCAAAAATCGTAATCTTTCTGAGCAACGATCCACTCCTCAGCTCCGCACCAACACAGCGCCCAAAAGGGAGTCCAAAAAGGAGGTTTTTTTTTAACAGTTCTGATTTTTCTCCTTAATGGAATGAAATTATTATTGATTTCCAACATGGATGTTGAATTAACTGGGGTTTATAATGTACGTTAAAAAGATGTAGAGATTAAAATCATATACAAAAGGTCCTGTATGAAGGGCAAGTGAGTAAATAATTGAATGTGTTTACAATGTAATAGAAGAATTGCCATTCTTGTGATTTCTTTTTTCCCCATTTTTTATTTTTTACACATCTCTTCACATGAGCAACGTGATTCCAGATTACAATATTTATACATAGTCATAATTGCACTTTCAACTTTCTTAATTAATATCACTTCAACTTATTATCCATTCAACTAATCTTTAGATAAATTTCCCTTTCATATTTAAATTCATTAATTCAATATCAAAATCATTTCATCCTCACATATATTTTCAATCAAGATTGGAGGGTGGTGGGCTGTTTCTCAAAGAGTGAAAATCAATGATGTAGTAATATATTAATCAGGGGGGAATAATAGATACAGATTAACAAATTTGGAAAGGACCTTGTAAATCATCTAGTCCAACCCCCCACCCAAGCATACCCTACACCATTGCTGATAGATGGCAGTCCAGTCTCTTCTTGAAAACTTCCAGTGATTAATCTCCCACAACTTCTGAACACAAGCTTTTCCATTGGTTGATTGATCTCAGTGTCAGAATATTTCCCCTTATTTCCAGGTTGAATCTCTCCTTGTTCAGTTTCCATTCATTATTCCTTGTCTGGCCTTCAGGTGCTTTGGAAAAATAGCTTGACTTTGTGTATAAGTGTTGGCCTTTTTTGATGCATCTTTATTTTTTTAATATTTTTGTTGATTTGTCTTTTTTCTTGTTTGGCCTTGTTTGGATTTTTCTGAGTTTCATATTTTAAGTTTGCCTTGAATGAAATAAAATAAAAAGATGCAAAAAAACCATGACTGATAAAATCCTCCATACCTGGTTAAAAGTTGGGTGCCACGCAATCCTCTCATCATCAATGAATAATTCCTTCCCTTTGGTTGCACCGGGTTCGATCTTTCCAACTCTAATTCTCTGAAAGGATCTGTTTGGAAAAGTGACCAAGTTGGTGATGTCGAAGCCACCTGTTGCTTCCCCTTTCTCATTCAAGGATACTCTACTGAATTATTGAAAGAAATGTTGTGAAGAAATGAATGGAGCTAGTTGAAAAAGAATGAAAGAGAGAAGGA